GGCTTTTTTCTTTTTGCTTATGTGGTGCTGAGGAATCGAACCCAGGGCCTCGAGCATGCAAGGCAAGCACTCTACCACTGAGCCACCTTCCCAGCCCAATGAATACATTTCTTATCAAGTATTGTTATTGTTGTTTCCTCCTTTGTTTCCCCTTCCCGTCCCTTCCTACCATCCTGCTCCTCAGCCCCCCTCCCGCTAAAGTTGTAAAATTCGTTTTTCCACATTAATGACTTGTACATCTCATTGTTGCAATATTGAAATTTATTTTTATTTTGTAAATTATGTGTGTGTGTGTGTGCACACGCACACGCGTGCATTTGGGGGTTTTGTGCATGTTTGTTTTGCTAGTCATGGGGCTTGAACTCAGGGACCTAGGCACTGTGTCTGAGCCTCTTTACACTCAAGGTTAGTGCTCTACTACTTGGGCCACAGTATCACTTCTGAGTAGTTTATTGAAGACTTTTCTGCCCAGGCTGGCTTTGAACCATGATCCTCAGATCTCAGCCTCCTGAGTAGCTAGGATTACAGGCATGAGCCACCAGCATCCAGCTTAAAGTATATTTTTATTACTGTACAAAGTGGTTATAATTCAACAAATTTAAACTAAAATGCTGAGTAAGTTCATTGCCTATATTTAATGAAATTCACATATTTATGTCACATAGGTTTTAATATGTCAGGTTCCTCCCTAATCCTAAACTCATTTCAAAGACTAGAATTACTTCAAAGAATTTTCTGCCCTTATCCATATAACTAGGTACAAGTAAAAAAAAACCATGAAAGTATTCATATCAGTATTTAGACAGGCTTTCTCTCTCTCTCTCTCTCTCTCTCTTTTGGTCTGTCATGGGGCTTGAACTCTGGGCCTGGGTGCTGTCCCTGAGCTCTTCAGATCAAGGCAAGCACTCTACCACCTGGGCCACAGTGCCACTTCTGATTTTCTGGTAGTTAATTGGAGATAAGAGTCTCATGAACTTTCCTGCCTGGCCTGGCTTTGAACCATGATCTCAACCACCTAAGTAGCTAGGATTACAGGCGTGAGCCACCAGCACCCGGCTAGATGGACCCTATTGCTCAAAATCTGGAAGTTTATACTATTCCCAGCAATGTATGAGTATACATCCCCACTTTGTTAAAATACAAATTTTCTTAAATTTTTATTTACAATTTTTATTTAATTAATCTATTATGAGTAATGATAAAACTGTGCCATGTAAAAATTATTTGCTATATTTGTGATTCATGATATGGGGGCATGCTATATAGTCTATGAGCATTCTACAAAGGCCCAGCTAGCCTTAGACTCTTGAGTCTTAGCATTACAAGTGTGTACTACAATATCTGGCTTTGTTCAAATGACTAAAAAATTGGATGCATAAAGCTCACGTTTAAAATTGTTGAAATAGAGCCAGGCACTGGTGGCTCATGCCTGTAATCCTAGCTACTCAAGAGGCTGAGATCTGAAAACTCTTGGTTTGAAACAGCCTGGGTAGAGCACTAGCGTTGACCACAAATGCTCAATAACAGCTCCTAAGCCCTGAGTTTAAGCTCCATGAGTGACAAAAAGAAAAAAATTGTTGAAATATGATTGTAAAGTAAAACCATTCAAGCTGGGTGCCGGTGGCTCACACCTGTAATCCTAGCTACTCAGGAGGCTGAGATCTGAGAATTACGATTCAAAGCCAGCCCGGGCAGTCAAGTCCATGAGACTCTTATCACCAATAAATCACTAGAAAACCAGAAGTGGCGCTGTTGCTCAAGCAGTAGAGCGCTCACCTTGAGCTGAAGAACTTTGAGGAACAGCACCCAAGCCCAGAGTTTAAGCCCCACGATCAAGTAAAAAAAAAAAAAAAGTAAATCTTTTCAAATAACTTATTTATTAATCCAGATATAGGTAAACATTTACATCAACATATGATTTCATGTTTTTTTTGTGCCAGTCCTGGGGCTTGAACTCAGAGCTTGGGCACTGTCCGAGGGTTTGTTTTGTTTCATTTTTGCTCAAGACTAGCGCTTAAGCCACAGCTCCTCTTTCAGCCTTTTTAGTGGCTAAGTGAAGATAAAGAGTCTTACAAATTTTCCTGTCCAGGGTTGGCTTCAAACAGTGATCCTCAGTTCTTAGCTTCTTGAGTAGCTAGGATCACAGGTGTGAGCTACCCGCACCTCATTTCATGCTTTTAAGATTAGCACAGTACCAGTTTTATATCCTAACAGGACCATCATGGTTAATACTTAACTCTTTGAAACAGAAAATTCTACAGAATCTTTAACAAAAGATCCTCTTCTATGCTATTTACATAAGACATTATTAGCTATACTTACTGGTCTAGGTAGGGCCAGATTTGCTCCATACCAGTGATAAAGTGCTCTCCATACAGGTTCTGGAACCATTTCATAATCTCTTCCATGGATCAGCTGGGGAGTTCGTTTTAATCGTCCTCCTTCTAATGTTAATGATGTGGCCTTACAAAGAATGAAATGTAAGTATTGGTTCTTAATATTATAAAGTCTTAGATACTAACAAAACAGACATATCATATGTCACTACCAAGTAGTTGCTTCTGATAACCAACCTACCAACCCTCCCTTCCTTCCTTTTTAAGTGGTTTTGAAGACCTATGGCCTCCTGCTTCATATCACTGAGACATATATCCCCAGTCTAGAAAATTGATGTTCATTTATTTATTTTGTGGCACTAGGGGTTGAACTATTTAATTTTCTTTTTTATTTTTTTAAATCCTGGGGATCAAACCCAAGACGCTGTACTTGCAAGGCAAGCACTTTGCCACTGACCTACATCCCAGCCCAGAAATGTGGCTTTTCAAGGGGAAACTTTGGGAAAGAAATCCCATATACATTTCAGTATTTCACAGTAGCTATCCAAGAATGAAAATATTTCTGAGGCTCACTATCCTACTTCAAATATGAAGTCACAGACTTTTCTCACAGAAATGTACTATGCAAAGACATTTCCATCTACTATTGAATTATATGTGTTACTCTAAATGAAATCGGCATTTTTTTATATGCTAACTCTCTAAAATATAATTTATTGGCAACATAAAAATAATTTAGGGGTAGCAATTGTCCAAAAAGAAATGTACTCTTTACCAGCCTTAGTAACTGTAACCCCTCTGTAATCACCTTTATAATAATAATGAAAAAAATCTGTTTAAAGTGAGTAATTTTAACATTCAATATCAAATTACCTACCTTTACTGGTTCTTGAGTTACTAGTGGCTGGTTATCAATAGCTCCTGGTTTCTGAGGATTAAGGTGTAACAGAATATTCCCATTGGCTCCTAGCAAACACTGGTTGTTATTGTCAGAAGTGTTATGTTGTCGAGCAAAGCATATATCTGTCCCTGGTGTGGCAGAATACAAAAAGCCTATAAGGGAAAAGAGTATGCAACTTCTTATTTTTAGTTATTATACATATATAGATTGAAGATATATAAACTCAAATGTCCATGTTAAGTTGATATTATTAGTTTTGATAATAATAAATTTCAATACAGTTTTAAGTTCTAATAAATGTGTAAATGATAGGCGAGGCAGTAGGTAAGATAACATTAAGTAAAATAAAAGCTTTCAAAATTATTACCAAATGAGTTATTTGGTCATTCTTCAAGACTATCTAATAATTTATGGTGAGAATTACAAATCCCCTGACAAAAAGGAAAGAGATTTGGCTAAGTACATAGTACATGGGCTAGTTGTTCTTAAATTCTTTCTTCTACCTCCAAATGTTTTAAATACTCTTGATATAATTATAATATATTGCAACAGGAAGTAGCTAATCTAAAGGGAAGAAGACAACTCCAACAAAAAATGTTATTCCTTAATGTATCTATTTAAAAAGAAGGCACGGTCTTTTATAAAAAGATGTTTTTATTAGCATGCATTAGTTGTACAAGGGGGCGGGTTTCATTATGACATTTCTACACATGAATACAATGTGTTCTGATCAAATTTTGCCCTCCCTTATCCCTTTCCCACTTCCAAAACAATTTATAGGTTTTACTGTTCTATTTATATGCAAATAAAGTACTGAAATCATATTAGAAAGCATGATCTTTACAATAGGAAAATATGCACAGAGAAAAGATTCACGATGGCTTAGAATTGTGAACCTCATGTGGTTATAAGGTATTTCAACTCATTATTCCTGTGTAAATTTCTTTTCTTCTTTGTTGGTATAAAGGCTTGAACTCAAGGCTTTGCACTCTTGCTCAGCTGTGTTCTACAACTTGAGCTACACCTTCAACCCAAGTTTTTGCTAGTTTACTGGAGATAAAGTCTCACGGATATTTCTGCCAGGACTGGCTTTAAACTATGATCTTCCAGGTCTTAGCCTCAATAGCCAGGATTAGGAGGTGTATCAGCCACTGACACCCAGTTTAAACTTCCTAATATAAATTACTTTGTAACCTTCTACTTGTGGTAACAGAGCAAATACAGTGAACACATACTAAACCAACCTTAGATATAATCTGTTTGGGGCTGGAGTATTGCTCAGTGGCAAAATGTTCACTCAGAATGCATCACATCCTAGGGTTCAATTTCCAGAATTAAAAGAAAAAAGTAACTTGTCAAAGCTGATCAGAGTACTTCTAACACTGTTAAGTGATCCTTAGAGAAAGAAAAATAGTAGATTCTACAATAAACTTTGTAGGAAAAGGGTAACTTTGACAATTTTCTTATTTTCTTCATAGGAAGGAGAAAAATGTCCAAGAGGAAATAACAGAGTAACAATAAATGTCCTGCTAATTTAGAAGAAAAACAGGGATCATCTCAATTCAGTTGGGTGACAATACCAAAGCATCTTCCTCAGAAGTATATAGCTACTACTTTATATTTTGTAAATACAAAGGACTAAAGGAAATTACTTATTATTTTATTATTATTTTAACAAAATATTCTCCAAATTCAGATCCAAAGTGTCCATACAATCCGGTAAGAGGGTTCATTTAATCTAAGAAGGTTCTAGAAATAGAATATTTTACTTTCTCACTTGTCTTTGCAAATCTAAATTTATTGACAAAAAAGACTGAACAGGTAAGTAGAGCTATAATTAATGGAAAATTAAAAAAATTTCACAAGAATAATAAAGTACAATGTAGAAAAGGTTTATCTGTAAGGCTGCTAATATATCTAATAATATTAAAGTTGACTATTTCATTCAAAACTTTTCTGTGAATGGAAGGCTGAAGCCTAGTACCCCACCCACTACACTCTACCAAAGCTGGCTCAATTTAAAATTAACCATGATTAATTTTAATAGAAGTCAAGTCATATTTACCACTGCCTGCAGATTCTGAGGCTTCAGATGCAGTAGAAATGTTGTCTGAAAATTTTTCTTCTGAGGTATTCATGTAACTGAGGTTGCCTCCAATTCTATCATCACCCTGCTCTATAGGATGTACTGCTGCACCAAACGAAAATTTTCCTCCATTCATAACAGATGAGGGCTCAATTACAACAGGGTTGGCATCCTAAGATTACAAAGTCAGAGAATAATAAAAAATGAATGATCTGAAACTATAACTTTTAAAAGATGAACCTCAAAAAATCAATTTCACAATTATTTATTATTTCATCTTCCTGGGGCTAGCAAGAGTCATTTAAAAACATTCAAAGCCACACTAAGAATATAAAGCCAGAAAAGTACTTCAAAATAAAGACTGGTGCTTTACTCTAATATTCCTATTCTCTATCTATAGTCAACATTATCTACCTGCAAGATCCCTAAAGTCATTTGCTTACCTTTATTACCTTAATTCCAAAGTACATGACTTTCAAATTAATACATTTTTACATTGGGAAACACTTGTGCTAGGAATGTAGCTAAGTGGTAGATTGCTAACATATGGGAGATGCTGAGTTTAATCCCCAGAACCAGAAAATCAAACGAAAACAACAAAAAACAACCCTCTCTCCTCCCTTTTCCCCTCTGCATGCCCCCTGCAAAAAAAAAAGCCCCATGGGGGATTGGAGGAGGAGAGACCAGACCTAGTTATTTAGGGAGTTCAAGGCCAACCCAGGCTATATGAGATTTGTCTCCAAAAAATACAGAAATGCTGGGCACCGGTGGCTCACACCTGTTATCTTAGCTACGCAGAGGCTGAGATTTGAGGATTACAGTTCAAAGCCAGCTCAGGCAAGAAAATCCATTAAACTCTTATCTCCAATTAACCACCAGAAAACTGGCAGTGGCTCTGTGGCTCAAGTGGTAGACCGTTCACATTAAGCTGAAGAACTCAGGGACAGCACCCAGGCCCAGAGTTCAAGCCCCACGACCGACCAAAAACAAAAAGCAGAAATAACTATTATCCTCAATCCTCCCCCAAATATAAATAACCCCTGCTTTCATTTTCCACTATTCATGGAGAGAATTAAAAATCTAGTTATCTGACCTTATTATGTAAAAATACAAATGTTTCTGAAAAATAATATCCAAACTAGTATACTACGAAAATAAAAAGCAGGGCTGGGAAAGTGGCTCAGTAGTAGAGTGCTTGCCTTGCATGCATGAGGCCCCGGGTTCGATTCCTCAGCACCACATAAGCAAAAAGGAAAAATAAAAGCCGGAAGTGGCGCTGTGGCTCAAGTGGTAGAGCGCTAGCCTAGAGCTGAAGAGCTGAGAGAGAGCGCCCAGGTCTAGAGTTCAGGCCCCATAACTGGACCAAAAAAAAAAAAAGAGAAAAGAAAAGAAAAGAAAGAGCAATTTTAAAAATAAAATCATCTTTTACAAGTAAAAACAATGCCCCACAAACCTACACACATTTGAAAACTTTAGCTGCAAAAGGAAAAGGATTGAAGAACAATAAAATAGATAATAAAATTGGTTACCAAGATCAATACTAAATAATGACACAACAGAGAAAATTAAATTATAAAAATTTTGGTTAGGAACAATATGGCAAATACAGTAATGCTATATACCAACTATCTCTCTATAAATGGAGACATTTGATTTCTGGCATTATTCTTTTCAGTTTTCCAATTGTGGAAAAATAAACTTTCAAATTAGACTCCGTAATATTAAAGCTTGAGAATGTTTTCCTTAACTCTTTAACTAGAAGAATTGATTACCTTATAAAAATTGAATTCTAATATTGAATATGAAATTTCTTTTTTTTGCGGGGGGTCCAGTCGTGGGGCCTGAACTCTGGGCCTGGGCACTGTCCCTCAGCTCTTCAGCTCAAGGCTAGCGCTCTACCACTTGAGACACAGCGCCACTTCTGGCTTTTTTCTTATGTGGTGCTTAGGAATCGAACCCAGGGCCTCATGCATGCAAGGCAAGCACTCTACCACTGAGTCACCTTCCCAGGCCCTCTTTTTTTTTTTTTGAGTCCGGTCATGGGGCCTGAACTCTGGGCCTGGGCGCTGTCCCTCAGCATTTCAGCTCAAGGCTAGCACTCTACCACTTGAGCCACAGCGCCACTTCCAGCTTTTTTCTTTTTTGCTTATGTGGTGCTGAGGAATCGAACCCAGGGCCTCATGCATGCAAGGCAAGCACTCTACCACTGAGTCACCTTCCCAGGCCCTCTTTTTTTTTTTTTGAGTCCGGTCATGGGGCCTGAACTCTGGGCCTGGGCACTGTCCCTCAGCTCTTCAGCTCAAGGCTAGCACTCTACCACTTGAGCCACAGCGCCACTTCCAGCTTTTTTCTTTTTTGCTTATGTGGTGCTGAGGAATCGAACCCAGGGCCTCTGGCATGCAAGGCAAGCGCTCTACCACTGAGCCACCTTCCCAGCCCTGAATATGAAATTTCTTAAATAGGTAATTACCCTTTCTTACCAACAGCCTCCAACATTTCAATGGAAAAGATGAACTAATGAAGGATAATATAAATGATATAGTTGAAAGAATACATCCTCTATAGTGTTTAGGCTGGATCCCAGATCTTCTACTCTGAGGAAGACATTAAGGCTTTTTTTTCACTTAGCACTAAGTTCCTCATAGAAAATATGGTTACAATATCATTTTCCACACAGGGATGCTGTGAGAATTGAGATATGAATGGCCTAATATACACAAATACCTTGTGTCTCATATTACCTTTCTTGCAGGATGTTGAAAGTAAATAAATTTATGTAGAAGTTTATACACAGAATCTAATCATATAAATATTACATTTCAATTTTTTCAATGTTTATCTAAGTTGGAATATTTCATTACTGGTCATTAGTTATACAAGGTCTGATGGAGTTGGAATTCCTTTGACAAACACAAGATAATAGGAATCTAACTCACGTATTTGACATATTCTTTCCACTGTTGCCACCACTGCATGGAGATGATAAACCAATTGTGTCCTGGCTGCAGACCATACCTGCTTTCTCGTTCTAACCATCCTCTGTACATACAAAAGAAATTCAGTACATCAAATGAAGTTGTGTGAAACAAAGGACAAGACCCACACTTACCATTAGAAGTTCTACCAAACAGATATATTTGGGAGACAATGTCATAAGTTCAATTAGTGAAACATTGTTTCCCTTGAAAAGCCAACTTCCATAGTCATAGAGACCATGGAGATTTGTCTCCAAAAAATACAGAAATGCCAGGCACCGATGGCTCACACCTGTAATCCTAGCTACTCAGGAGGCTGAGATCTGAGGATCACAGTTCAAAGCCAGCCCGGGCAGGAAAATCAACATAAAAATAATCCTATTTAGGATAATTTATGAAATATCAAGTTTGCCTGTTATAATTGCACAATCAAGTATTTAAGTAAACATGTTTTTTGTACATTTTTTATTGTAAAAATGCTGTACAGAGGGGTTACAGTTACATGAGCAAGGTAATGAGTACATATCCTATGGAGCATTGTTGCCTCCTCCTTAGTTTTTCCCCTTCCATCCCTTCCCTCCTACCTCCACAACTACTCCCTCCCCTCCCCCACCACTCCCTGCAGTTGTAAAGTTCATTTTCAACATAGTACCTTGTACATCTCATTGTTACAATGGGTCAACCTGTATCCCTAATCATTTTGTTTTTTCCCTCCCCCTCCCCAAATTGGAGAAGCATATATAAAAGATGCAGGGCACCAGCGTGAAATACAGTGAAAACAGGGGTTATACCATGGGGGAGGAACACACAACGAAAAAAAATCACATAGTACATTATAAATACATTAGAAACAATAGCAAGCAAGAAAAAAATGTTTGTGTCCCTATCTTGGGGTTCATTCTTTTTAACATCATTTTATATGGTCATATGTACATAGCTTTTAACCTTTTCTGCTTGTCCTAGATATGTACTATTTATTGCAAATAAGGGAAACCATAGGATCTATGTTTCAAAAATACGGAATGTGGGCTGGGATGTAGCTCAGTGGCAAAGCACTTACCTAGCAAGTGCAACGTCCTGGGTTCGATCCCCAGTACCAAAAAAGTCAAGTCGGAAAAAAAAAAATACTGAATGCTTCACGAATTTGTGTGTCATCCTTGGGCAGGGGCCATGCTAATCTTCTCTGTATCATTCCAATTTTAATATATGTGCTGCCAAAGCCAGCACAAGTAAACATGTTTATAGATATGTACAACCACTGCCATAAACCAGTTTTGGACTATAGAGAACATTTCAATCAACCCATGCTTCATGCCAGCAGTGACTGCTTTGAACACAGCACAAACACTTTGAGGATGCTACATAACCATCACAACTGTTTGCTACAGAAGTACAACTCCAGTGGCTGAAAGGCACTGTTCCACTCACAATAGTTTCAATAGCTTATTCTGAACCTTTTTTTTTTTTTTGGGTGTTGGTCCTGGGGCTTGAACTCAGAGCCTGAACACTGTCTCTAAGATTCTTCTTCTCAAGACTAGTGCTCTACCACTTGAGCCACAGTGCCACTTCCAGCTTTGAGTAGTTTATTGGCGGTAAGGGTCTCATATACTTTCCTGCTCTGGGTGGCTTCAAACCGTGATGCTCAGATTTCAGCCTTCTGAGTAGATAGGGTTACAGGAGTGAGCCACCGGTGCCCAGATTGTACTAGACTTTCTGACACTGTAAGCCTCAGTGAACTCTCAGTGAACTGTGGAAGACCATGTAGCCATTTCCTCCCATGTCAAAGGGGGTGCATTACCCTTGGTGGACCAACAGAAGGCTTGAGACTGGTAAACAGTCATTTACCACCATGACTAGTGACATGAGAGGCTATGTGCCATGGCTGTTTCAGACACCTTTGTAACATCTTTACTGGTTAAGCAGCAGGCTTTGGGTTTACTTTGGGAGCCAGCCAGGAAACACATTCCTGGGCTACCCCCTGAGGTTGCAACATTAGGCTGAATAAAAGGCTTATCTTGAGGGATCTTTTCCTGCTCTTGGTCTTTATTATCAATAGACTAGACTGAAGTGTTAGCATGAAGAGAGGACAGCAGAACAGAAGGGAAATTATAGTGGTAGCAAAGGCAGTAGTAGGAGCAGGAGCAGCAGTAACAAGAAGAGAGCAGTTGAAAGGTTCCAGATAGCAGCAAGGGAGGGGAGAAATGACAGAAAACAGAAGAATGGAGACAATACAAAAGTGAAGATGAGATGCTGTGGGCCTGGATCTCTGGAAGAGTTCCAAAGAGGAACCAAGGCCACAGGGCCAAGGTCTCAGACATGCTAGACCCAAGAGCTATTAACTTCAGCTACATCAAAGGCATATCTCAGTCCGAGCTCTAATAATTCTTGCTGTCAGAGGCCAGGGATTCTGACATCCTAGACCTAAGACTGTATCATTCAGTGCTATAGGACTGATGCTACCAGCACCAAAAGCTTGTACAAGAGCTGCAACACAAAAAGGTGCTGCCTGCTGTTGTCTACTGTTACAGCCCACTGCTGCTACAAGTAAAGGATTACAAGAGCTACCAAGTGGTGGGTCACCGGTAGTTAAAGCGTAGGCAATCAGGCCCTTATTTCTGAGGGTTTGGAGCTTTAGGCCTCTAAGTCTGCCAGTCTAGCTCATCTTTGCCTACTTACATGTGTAGAGCAACAGGACCCAAGTGAACTGATTTGTAACCATGTTAGGACTTGTATATCGATGGTTTTGCTTTCACTACATGCCATACAATCCACCTCCACTTATCCACCTTATCCAAGGTAGCCTCTACTGCCTCCACCATGGCCATAACCACTCCAGCCATCAGGCATCCTATATACTGCTCTACTGTAACTGTTCTCTATTCCTATTCTTCCAACAGAGCCATATACTTTGATTATCCATTCCATCTCTCTTGTATTCTCCCATTCCAGAACATCCCATTCCAAAGCTGCCTTCATGGACATAATTCAACAAGAGTTCCACTTAGCGCTGTTGCATGTTGTTTTTATTGTCAAACATGGGAGTCCACTGAATGTTCATGTGTAACAAAACTGTATAACCTATTTGCCATCAGCTCTAATCCCAGTATTTTATGATTTAGTGATGAGAAGCAATTAGCAATGTCATTTTCAGTTGCATCTCTTGTTAGGTACAACATTCTGAACTTGTATTTTCACCACAGCCATAGCCTTCTGCACCTTTTTCCAGCTCTTATTTTGTTACCAAAGCCATTGTTTCTATAGCTATAATTATTATAGCTACCACAGTTACCAAAAGCTCCATACTTCCACACTCAACTCCTTAATAAACCTCTCTTCCTCTATGTAATATGGTGTGGATCACTGTCCCAACAATTTTCTTAGTAAAATTTAAAATTCTTTGTTGTTCTTACTACTTATAAAGATCTCAACATAACTTGAAAGAATTAAAATATTTCTTTTTTGCTACTATCAAATGGCATCTCAGAAAGTTGTACTGTCCTATATCACTAGTGTCATTTGGACCAGTATGTATCATAATTAGACTTAAATGCTCCTTTTACCATTACCTGTTGGGTAACAGTAACACAACTCTGGCAGCAAACAGGTCTAATCATGAACAAGAAGTTTACCTCAGGCAGTATTCTCTACAATAGCTAAGGAAGCTTCTAGTTCTCCATTTTATAAATGGATTGTTGAGCTATAGGAGTTTTTTATATATTATGACAACTTCTGGACTCTTACCAGATACATGATTTATAAATATTGTCCCTCATTCTGTAGGTTATTTTTTCAATTATAAGTCAACTATTACTATTATTATTCTTTGTGCGTGTGTGCCAGTCTTGGGGCTTGAACTCAGGGCCTGGGCACTGAATATCAAGGCTAGTGTTGTCCCAGATGAGCCAGGCTACACTTCTAGATTTTTGGTGGTTAATAAGAGATAAGAGCCTCATGAACTTTCCTGCCTAGGCTGGCTTCAAACTGTAATTCTCAAATTTCAGCTTCCTGAGTCACTACAATTACAGATATGAATCACTGGTGCCTGGCTAAGACAATTACTGTTGTTGTTGTTATTATTGTCAGTTATGGGGCTTGAACTCAAGGTCTAGGCACTATACCTGAGCTATTTTTGCTCCAGGCTAGTGAGTGCTCTACAACTTGGAGCCACAGGCCCATATCTGACTTTCTGGTGGTTAACTGAAGAAAAGAGTTTCACAGACTTTCCTGCTTGGGCTGGCTTTGGACCATAATTCTCAGATCTCAATTCCTGAATAGCTAGGATTACAGATATGAGCTACCAGTTCTCAGCTTGGCAATTATTTTTTGATGTATGAAACTTAAAATTTTGGTCAAGTGGTCTACCACTGAGCTACATACCCAGCCCTAGTGTGGTTTTTTTGTTGTTGTTTTGTTTTGTTTTTTTTGGTTGTGGGGCTTGAACTCTGGGCCTGGGTGATGTTCCTGAGTTCTTCAGCTCAAGGTGAGTGCTCTACCAAGTGAGCCACAGTGCCACCTCCGGTTTTCTGGTGGTTAATTGGAGATAAGAGTCTCATGAGTTTTCCTGCCCAGGCTGGCTTTGAACCGTGATCCTCAGATCTCAGCCTCCTGAGTAGCTAGGATTACAGGTGTGAGCCACCAGTGCCTGGTTCATTTTTTTCCTTTTTAATGCTGGTCCTGAGCTTGAACTCAGGGCCTGAACAATGTCTCTGAGCTATTTTTTTTTTTGCTCAAGGGCAGCACTCTACCACTTGAGCCACAGTGCCACTTCCAGCTTTTTTCTGAGTAGTTTATTGAAGATAAGAGTTTCATGGACTTTTTTGCCTGGGCTAACTTTGAAAAACAATCCTCAGATCTCAGAATCCCAAGTAGCTAGGCTTCTATGTGCAAGCCACTGTATATAGCTTCCAAGTATAATTTTAAAAGAATTTTATTTCTAACTTAACCTAGTCCCTTGACTTGGAAAATGCTTTAAGGAATGGTTTTATAACAATACTTAAAGTGGAACATGCTACTACTTAGTAATCAAGATATTTTAAATATTAAAAATTCCAGGTATATAACAAGAATATACACATATATAACAAGAATACGAACACACACACACACACACACACACACACACACACACACACACACATATACACACACTCTCTCTCTCTCTCTCTCCCTCTCTCTCTCTCTCTCTCTGTTAATTTACCTAATAATTTGTCCTTCTTCTTCTGGAGTAGCTGGTCTTAACCCAAGAACTATGTGACATACCTAGAGAAAAAAAAACAACATAAATTTTATTGACTGGTGCCATTGACTAGACTGTATATTTCATACTGTATTCAGAAAATCCTTTTTTTTTTAATGCCCACCTGGGGCTTGAACTCAAGGCCTGGGAGTGGTGGGGCTTGAACTCAAGGCCTGGGAGTTGCCTTCAATGCTAGCACTTAAGTCATAGCTCCACTTTCAACTTCTTGGTGGTTAACTGGAGATCAAAATTTTATGGATTTTTGCTGCCCAGGCTGGCTTTGAACAGTGATCCTCATGTCTCCGCCCCTCCTAAGAAGCTAGGATTACAAGTGTGTACCACTGGTGCCCTGCAGAAGATCCATCTTTCAGATGAGTATCTTAGCAATAGGTATCAATGATTTAGTGGAATAAAATTTAAGTTTCATTGTGTTTTTAAATTTAATACTTTAAAAAATAGGGGCAAATTCCCAAATCTCTAAAAGAAGAAGAAAAAAGGAAAAGAGAAAGTAGAAGGGAGGGAGAAGAAGAAAAGTATGAAAGAGAAGAGGAAGCAAAAAAAAAAAATTCCAGGGTCTGGTGGCTCACACCTGTAATCCTAGCTATGCTGGAGGCTGAGATCTGAGGATCATGGTTCAAAGCCAGACTCTGCAGGAAAGTTTATGAGACTTTTATTTATTTATTTATTTTTTTGTTGGTCGTGGGGCTTGAACGCTGGGCCTGGGCACTGTCCCTCAGATCTTCAGTTCAAGGCCCTACCAATTGAACCACAGCACCACTTCCAGTTTTCTGGTGGTATACTGGAGATAAGAGTCTCACTGACTTTCCTGCACAGGATGGCTTTAAACCATGATCCTCAGATCAGCCAGCTGAGTAGCTAGGATTATAGGCATGAGCCACTGGCACTTGGCTTTATCAGGCACCTGGCTTTATCAGACGCTTATCTCCAATTAAACACGAGAAAACTGGAAGTGGAGTTGTGGCTCGAAGTAGTAGAGCACTACTAGTTCAGGGACTGTGCTCAGGCCCTGAGTTCAAATCCTATACCTGACAAAAAAGAAAAGAAAAGAAAAGCTTGTTACAGCCTAAAACAGAAAACATAAACATGAAAACATATATGTAAAAACATGTCACAGGTGGTCAGTGAACAAGTTTCTATAGAATACAAATATGGAGAACATACTTATTGGGTTTTAGGGTATAGAAACACTCAAGTTTCACAAATATTACCAATTTCAATGATTACAGCAGTTTACATTAATGTCAATAATGTGTGAAAAATTTACTTGCTTTTATCACCAACAATACATCACTTAATAACCTTATATGTTTATGAAAGGGGCTAATCTCTTTTTTTTTGCTTTTGTTTTGTTTTGTTTTTATCAGTTGTGGGGTCTGAACTCTGGGCCTGAGTGCTGTCCCTAAGTTCTTCAGGTCAAGGCTAGCGCTCTACCACTTGAGCCACAGCACCACTTCCAGGTTTTTCTGCTTATGTGGTACTGAGGAATGGAATCCAGGGCTTAGTACATGCAATGTAAGCAAGCACTCTACCACTGCACTCTACCTTCCCAGCCCGGGGCTAACCTCTTTGGTTACTATGTTAATAGTTGTGTAAGCCGGGCGCTGGTGGCTCACGCCTGTAATCCTAGCTACTCAGGAGGCTGAGATCTGAGGATCGCGGTTCAAAGCCAGCCCGGGCAGGAGAGACTGTGAGACTCCTATCTCCAATAAACCACCAGAAAACCGGAAGTGGCACTGTAGCTCAAGTGGTAGAGTGCTTGCCTTGAGCTGAAGAGCTGAGGGACAGCGCCCAGGCCCAGAGTTCAAGCCCCACGGCCGACAAAAAAAAAAAAAAATAGTTGTGTAAAACACTTCGTTAGCCAACAACATGGTTATGTTTTAAGTTTATCAGATTGTATATGCTTTAAATATGTAACACTGATGAACTAACAAGAAGAGACCAGTTTCCATTTATTCTAAGACAGCTGGGTAGCAGGTAAGTTATCCTCTACTTAAAATGAAAGGTTGGGAAGTGGCGCTGTGGCTCAAGCAGTAGAGTGCTCGCCTTGAGCTGAAGAGCTGAGGGACAGCGCCCAGGCCCAGAGTTCAATCCCCACAACCGACCAAAGAGAAAAACAACAACAACAAAAAACACGAAAGGTTGTAATAGGCATAACAAACCAAATCATTCAAATCTTCACAAGGGTGATTTCACAAGGAAAGAAAAAACAAAACCCAGAATAACCAACTATTAAATAAACTTAAATATTTATGAAGAACTACAAAAAATGGAAAATCAAAAACAAGAGAACTAGTTTAACTGAATAAAATTGGGGAGGCTCAATGGCTTAATGTTCAAAACTCTTGTATTTCCTTCCTTCCTTCTCTATTTTAGTTGGGTCTTCTAAAGAATAAAGTAAAGGAGCATTTGTGTGTGTCTGTCTTTGTTTAATTTGTAACAAAGCCTTACAGACAGACACAAACAGTAAATCCTCTTTTGCAACCCAGAACTCATTGAGATTTTGGTACATGTAAGAAGGAATATGAGGGGCTGGAAGGTGACTCAGTGGTAGAGCGCTTGCCTTGCAGGCATGAGGCCTTGGGTTCGATTCCTCAGCACCACATAAGCAAAAAGAAAAAAGCCAGAAGTGGTGCTGTGGCTCAAGTGATAGAGTGCTAGCCTTGAGCTTAAGAGTTGAAGGACAGTGCCCAGGCCCAGAGTTCAGGCCCCATGACCGCCGCCAAAAAAAGGAAGGAGTATGATTCCTACAACAGTTAGCATTGTGAGGGTTTGTTAATTCACACAAGTTACTCTGAGAATAAAGTTGATGTAAAAGCAAGAAAATAAAAATAAAATAGCCTTGTAACAAGGATCTCTCAACTAAAGAGAATGTATACTTTGAAAATTTCATAGTGTTCATATTGTCTTACTATTAGGAAAGGCCCTTTTAAAAGACAAGAGGCCAAGCGCTAGTGGTTCACGCCTGCAATCCTAGCTACTCAGGAGGCTGAGATCTGAGGATCAGGTTCAAAGCCAGCCCAGGAAGGAAAGTCCATGAAACTCATCTCCAATAAACCACCAAAAAACCTAAAGCGGCACTGTGGCTCAAGCAGTAGAGTGTTCGCCTTGACCTGAAGAGCTGAGGGACAGTGCTCAGGCCCAGAGTTCAAGCCCCACAACTGACAAAAAAAAGACAACAAGTGGCTGGGAAAGTGGCTCAGTGGTAGAATGATTGCCTTGCATGCATGAGGCCCTGGGTTAGATTCCTCAGCACCACATAAGCAGAAAAAACCAGAAGTGGTGTTGTGGCTCAAGTGGTAGAGTGCCAGCCTTGAGCAAAAAGAAGCTCATGGACAGAGCTCATGGTAAAGAACTAGCCTTGAGCTGAAGAGCTGAGGGACAGTGCCGATGCCCAGAGTTCAGGCCCCACAACTGACCCCCCCAAAAAAAAAAGACAACAAGGGCTGGAGGATGTAGTTCATTGGTAGGGCACTTGCCTAGCATTCATGAGTCTGGAGTTGACCCTCAGCCCTAGGGATGTACGTAGGGGAGTAGGCAAGGGATATAAAAATGAAAAAAAGTGGGGCTGGGAATGTGGCTTAGTGGTAGAGTGCTTGCCTAGCATGCATGAAATCGTGGTTCGATTCCTCAGTACCACATAAACAGAAAAAGCCAGAAGTGGTGTTGTGGCTCAAGTGTAGAGTGCCAGCCTTGAGCAAAAAAGAAGCTCATGGACAGTTCATAGGTCCTGAGTTTAAGCATTGGCAATAAGAAGAGGAGGAGAAGGAGAAATAGGAGGAGGAGAAACAGGAGGAGGAAAGGTAGAAGAGGAAGAGGAAGAAGAAGAGTAGTAGTAAAAAATTATGATGTCTTCTACAATTAGAATTATTTTCTATATGTCTAAATGCTGCTTTAAGTTATAATAAAATAAGCAACCATATTTCCATTCTGCTTTCCCATTTCCCATTTCAGTGGTTACTCGTGTCTATCTTACTATCCTTTTGGAGATGTACAAGATAATGTAATTCTATCTTTCCATAACATGATTTAGCAGCTTAGCTGTGATAACTGTAGCATTATATAGTGGAAAATAGTATTACCTCTGCTACAACTTAATACCTGTCGTTTACCTTAAACATACCTGGAAGAGAAGATTCAAAAATTCATTGGCAAGAACATTTTTCACACTCCAGATCTGATAGTCTTCTAGAGTAAGATGGCCTATCTGAAAATGAGACATTGAAAAGATCTCACGTTAAGTTAGAATACAGTCATGTTCCTGAAAGCAAGCCCATAACTCATATTAGGTACTATGTGTTCATCTAAAAACAAGCCAGTAGTGTAAGTTTGCAGGTCATAAAACTTAGGCAAATTTCATTTGTGATTTTATTCAAGCAAGCAATAAAAGCAAAATGTTATTAATAATAAATTTTCCTCACTAAACTTGGGCTATAGCCAGGTGCTAGTGGCTTATGCTTGTAATCCTAGCTACTCAGGAAGCTGAGATCTGAGGATTCCTGTTTGAAGCCAGCCCAGACAATAAAGTCCGTGAGTCCTTGAGATTCTTATCCCCAATTAACCCCCAAAATCTAGACATGGAGGTGTGGCTCAAGTGGTAGAGCACTATCCTTAAGCAAAAAGCTCAGGGACAGCACCCAGGCCCTGAGTTCCAGCACATGCAAAAAAAAAAAAAAAAACTCTGGGTATAACAAAATTATTTCTGCTTCATAGGTTACCAATGAAAAACCATAAAGGAACACGGAGTGGACAAAGTGAACATTTACAAATTTTCAAACTAAGTAGTTGACTTTCATTTGCTAGTACCAGGGCTTGAAGTCAGGACGTTGGACTTTCTCTGCTTGTTTGCTCATAGCTGGCACTCTACTACTTAAGCTATGTGCCTCTAGCCTGGCATTTTTCTGGTTAACTGTAGGAATCTCTCAAGATTTGTCTGCTGGGGCTGGCTTTGAACCTCAATCCTCAGATTTCAGTATTCTGAGTAGCTAGGAATACAGGTGAACTACCAGAACCCAGCTTAAGCCTAATAATTTTATGACTTGCTTATAAGTATTTACCTTTTTCCAAATATTACTTTTCTATAAAAAAGCAACATTTTTGTTATGTCAATGTGTACAAAAATATATGTAAATATATATCAAATGTTTATCTTACACATTCAATTAATATTTTTTGTTTTGTTTTGTTTTTGCCAGTGCTAGGGCTTGAACTCAGGGCCTGGGCATGTCCCTGAGCTTCTTTTGCTCAAGGCTAGCTCTCTAACACTTGAGCCAAAACATCAATTTTGGCTTTTTCTTTTTATGTGGTACTGAGAAATTGAATCAAGGCAAGCACTTGCTAGGCAAGCACTCTACCACTAAGCCACATTCCCAATCCTCACTGAATGTTTTTAACTTTTTTGGTTTTTTTTTGGGGGGGGGGGTCAATTGTGTGGCCTGGCACTGATTCTGGGCTTTTTTGCTCAAGGCTAGCTCTCTACCACTTTGAGCCACAGCATTACTTCCAGTTTTCTACTGGTTAATTGGTGATAAGAGTCTTAACAGACTTTCATGACCCGGCTCGTACCAAACAGTGACCCTCACAGCTCATCTCCTGAGTAGTTAGGATTATAGGCATGATTATAGGCTATTTTTAAGTTTTTGTCATTTAATGATACTATGTTCTCTGTTCATCATATAAAAACATGTTATATAAGGTTTTCAATTAATTATTAAGATTAATTATTGTAATTGTTTTCTTTTTTTTGGGGGGTCCAGTCGTGGGGCCTGAACTCTGGGCCTGGGTGCTGTCCCTCAGCTCTTCAGCTCAAGGCAAGCACTCTACCACTTGAGCCACAGCGCCACTTCCGGCTTTTTTCTTATGCGGTGCTGAGGAATCGAACCCAGGGCCTCAAGCATGCAAGGCAAGTGCTCTACCACTGAGCCACCTTCCCAGCCCCTGTAATTGTTTTCTATGAGACAACTACTATTTAGATTTGCTAATAGCAATCTAAATGGTAGCAGTCAATTAACAAGATAAAGACATTTTCTTTCTTTTGATGGTATTGTGGCCTGACTCATACATCATTTTTAAGAAAACAAAACACAGCTGACTTCTGGAATCACTGAAGTGTGTATTTCAACTGCTATACCCAAACAACAAACATGTAAAGATTTAATAGTAAGAAAATCTTAATTGTAACCCCTCCTTGTATATCAACTTAACAATAAAATTTAAAAGAAGTAAAAGAATATCTTCCAAATCCATGTAGAGAAATTAAAGGGAAAGAAAAATGAAAAATGAAAAACCTCACTTCTATTTTTCTAAGCATGTTTCTATTCAAAAGTTGAGGAAGGATGGTGCTGGTGGCTCATGCCTGTAATCCTAGCTACTCAGGAGGCTGAAATCTGAGGATCACAGTTCAAAGCCAGCCTGTGCAGGAAAATCCATGAGACTCTTGTCTTTAATTAACCACCAGAAAACCGGAAGTGGCTTTGTGGCTCAAGTGGTAGAGCTTGCCTTGAGCTAAAGAGCTCAGAGACAGTGCCCAGGCCCAGAGTTCAACTCCATGACCAAAAAAAAAAAAAAAAGTTGAGGAAGTATAAGCAAATCACTACATTATGCCTAGTATCACAGAATCTTTCTTATCATGACTACTTACTTAAATTGCTTGTTCACTTATCACAAAGAGGAAGTGCTCTGAAGGGGTTTGTATGTTTTTCTCAAATCTAGTACAAGGAATTGAAAACATCTAGATCTATATTACAGAATTCCCCCAAAGGATTTCTAACTTAGATCTTTGATCTATACTCCCTAGTCTTCTGCACTTTTTATTTTTGAAACAAGGTGCTTCCTGCTTATGTGCTTACATGGACCACAATCCATCTATTTTAGCTTCCTGTTATATCTGGACTAACAGGCATGCTCCACCAAACCCAGTTATCACTTATAAAGGGGTCTCGCTAGCTACCCTGCCCTGGTTGGCTTCAATCTGTAACTTTTCATATCTCAGCCTCCAAGCAGGTAGGACTACAGTCTTGAGCCCAACTACTCTGGCAATTTTTGAAACAAGGTCTTGCTTTTTTGCCCAGGTTGCTTGATTAATGCTTCTTACCATAGCAGAGATGACAGGCATGCAATGCATGAGCTTTTTCTGTTGAGACAGAGTCTTGCTGAGATGTTCTTTATCTGAGCCACCACACATAGCTAGGATATACAAGCATGCCACCTCATCTAGCTATTTGGCATGTGTCTTTGAATCTTTGTGTCTGAGTTTGCCTGCAGAGTAGTTAAGATTACAGGTTTCAGCCACCAGAGTTGAACTAATCTGATTGTTTTATGTAGCCAAACTATACAAATAATTAAGGCACCTAGTCTCAAATATTTTAAGGAACAATGTTCTTTTTTGTGTGTTGGTACAAAGGTTTGAAGTCAAGGTCTCATGTTAGCTAGGAAGGTAGTATCACTGGATCTACATATTCCATCCTTTTTTGCTTTTAGTTATTTTTCAGGTAGGATCTTGGTTTTTGCATGGTACCGGCCTCAGATCACAATATTCTTACCTATAGCCTCCTATACGGCTAGAATCACAAATGTGTATTACCACACTTGGTGTGTTCATTAATATGAGATACTAAGAATTCTTTGACTACACTGCTTCAAACTATGATCCTCCCAGACTCTATCTCCTAAGTGGCTAGGATTACAGGTACAACCACTCTACATGGCTAAGGAACAATTTCCATAGTGAAGTTATACTACATAAAAGAAATGTTAATATTGTCCCCCCTCCCCAAAAAAGAAATATAGAAAGAAAATACTGTATATTACCATATAGATTAATCATATGTACAATGACAGTCAAAAGCCCATTTGGAAGCCAGGCATGGCAGAGCTTAGGTCTGTAATACCAGAACTCAGGAGAAGAGGTAGAAGGATAAGTTCAAGGCCAGCTTGGGCTATATGGTTTCTGGTTAGTCCAAGTTATATAGCAGGACACTGTCTTAAAAAAAAAAAAAAAAGCCAGGCACTGGTGGCTCATGCTTGTAATCCTAGCTACTCAGGAGGCTGAGATTTGAGGATTGTGGTTCAAAGCCAGCCTAGCAGGACCATCTATGAGAAAACTGGAAGTGGCTCTGTGGCTCAAGTAGTAGAGCTCTCACCTTTAGCTGAAGAGCTCAGAGACAGCACCCAGGCAGAGTTCAAGACCCAGTACTCTCTCTCTCTCTCTCTCACACACACACACACACACACACATACACACACACACACACACACACACAAGAGCCCATTTGCTATGCCAACAATTAAAAACTAATTAAAACATACACAATTTTGCTTAAAAACTAGAGTAGTAAGTTAAGGGAAAAAGTGAGGGCTGCCGACAGCCATTTTTCTTTGTAATGAAGATCAAAGGTAGATACAGAATTTAAGGGAAAGATAAGCTTAGATGAGGATGCAAAAAAAACACACAAAACAAATAAATGAAATAGAAAAATATAGGCATAAAGAAACAATGACTAGTAGAAATCAAATTAATAACTCTTCCCAGGCTAAAAGAGATCTCGGAGGTGTAGCTCAAGTAGAGTTCCAGCCTTGATTAGAAAAAAACAAGTGAGAGCCTGAGACCTGAGTTCAAATTCCAGTGTTGGCACAAAACCAAAAACCTCTAAAGAAAAAAAAAAGCAACTAATAAACCTTATGATTATGGAACCCAGGAAATTTCCCTGCTGGCAGAGAGGGCCCTGACTGTTGCTTCTCCCCTTTCCTCCCTCCTTTTTTTCTTCTGCTCTTATGAAGGCTTCAATTTTTAGATTTGTTTATTCTCCCTATGACCCCCTTCCTGACTCACTTGACTCTCTTTTTTTTTTTTTTTTTTTTCCCAGTCGTGGGGCCTGAACTCTGGGCCTGGGCGCTGTCCCTCAGCTCTTCAGCTCAAGGTGAGTGCTCTACCACTTGAACCACAGCACCACTTCTGGCTTTTTTCTTTTTGCTTATATGGTGCTTGAGGAATCGAACCCAGGACCTTATGCATGCAAGGCAAGTGCTCTACCACTGAGCCACCTTCCCAGCCCCTCACTTCACTCTCTAACTGATAAGACCTACATAGGTGAAACACCAGCAGAACAGATCAATTTCATGGGGATCTACTATATGGACCTTAGAACAATTCAGCCTATACAACAGCAATCAAAGGCAAACTCTTTTGGGAGTAAATCATGTGCCAACTGCTACTGATGGAAGGAAAACAGGTACTCAGCTCCTCAGGATGAACCCTGAATAAGTCAAAGAAGCAAGAACTACAGATTCTTTAGCTAGTGAATGTGCTACAGTGGTAGTGTTAGTGGATTGTTTTTATGTTGATGAACTTGCTTGTGAGTGAACAAAGCAGGAGTACTGCATTGATTCCCTGATGATGAGTGCTACCTTGGACACCGTTCTGGAACTTGGCTGCACTGACAAATTTGTATACCACTTTCTTCATGTCCCACCCTCCTCCTGCTTTCAAAGAAGCATTGATAGCTAGAAACTTCCTTTGTCAAGGTAACCAACTCACATAGCCAATCGGATAAGTATAGAGCATAGAGTTGAGTGCCAGCTGGAATACACTGGCTTAATAACTAGAAAGGAAACTCCCAGTCCAATTCATATTATAGAGCCCAGCAAGCAAAAAACTGATTTTTTTTCCTATTTATTTATTTAGTCATTTGTGGGGCTTGAACCAGGACCTGGGTGCTGTCCCAGAGCCTCTGTGTTCAAGTCTAGTGTTCTACCACTTGAGCCATAGCATCACTTCCAGTTTTCTAATGGTTAACTGGAGATAAAGAGTCTCATGGACATTGCTGCTTTGAACCATGATTCTCAGATCTCAGCCTTCGGAGTAGCCTTCTGAGTAGCTAAGATTACAGTCATGAGCCACCTGTGCCCAGCCAACTTTTTAATTTTTTTCCCTCTTTTTCTCACTAGTAGTCCATTCCAACTCCCACTCTCTTTATTACCTCTATCTTTATTTTCCCCTTCTGTACATATACATATGAGAAATCTTCAATTATGCATTCCATTCCTCAGAGCCCCATTTTCCACATCTTTTTTTTGGGGGGGGGTCCAGTCATCTGGGCCTGGCGCTGTCCCTCAGCTCTTCATCTCAAGGCTAGCACTCTACCACTTGAGCCATAGCGCCACTTCCCGCTTTTTTTTCTTTTTGCTTATGTGGTGCTGAGGAATTGAACCCAGGGCCTCAAGCATGCAAGGCAAGCCCTCTACCACTGAGCCACCTTCCCAGCCCCTTCCACATCTTTTATCCTTTCTGCCACCACCCCCCCACTCTTAATAGCCAAGTACTATTTTCTACACAAAGCAACTTTATCATTCTGATATCCTTTGGAAAGAATCAAAATCCCTAGCCCCTTGTATATATAATGTGTTTGGTGTATACATCTTGTAAACTAAGGCCTTTTGTTTGTAGATATTTGGTTGGGTTTTGAATTGGTGAACTTTTTTTTGGGGGGGGAGGGTCTGGTCATGGGGCCTGAACTCTGGGCCTGGGCTCTGTCCCTCAGCTCTTCAGCTCAAGGCTAGCACTCTACCACTTGAGACACAGCGCCACTTCCAGCTTTTTTTTTTTCTGCTTATGTGGTGCTGAGGAATCGAACCCAGGGCCTCAAGCATGCAAGGCAAGTGCTCTACCACTGAGCCACCTTCCCAGCCCCGAATTGGTGAACTTTTTAACTCCACATCAAGGACAAGAAACAGAACATCAACCAAGCTGTGAGAATACAGAAATTAACTCAGTGGAGAGACCTCAAGTGACTAACACTCAAGTTTACTTCTGCTCTTAAAGTTAATATAAATGGAGTCATACTGTGCATTGTTTTATTTTGATTTAATTTTCTTTCTTTCTTTCCTTTTGTTTTGTCAGTTTGGGTCTTGAACTCAAGTCCTGGGTGCTGTCCCTGAGCTCTTTCACTCAAGGCTCATGCTCTACCATCATTTCTAGTTTTTTACTAGAAATTGGGGATAAGAGTCTCACGGGAACTTTTCTGCCCAGGCTAATTCTGAACCATGATCCTCAGATGTTAGCCTCCTGAATAGTTAGGATTACACATGTGAGCCAACAGCATCCAACTATGTTTGATTTCTTCTACAACATAGTAAGCTTTATTAGAAAGGAAGAAATAATGGTTATAAACTACAGAGGTCAAGAAGTTTATTTAGTTCTTACATTAGACTTCATAGACTTGTTAAAAGATGGAACAAAGTCTCTTTACGGATAATTTTGAGCTACTATAACCACAGGTCCAGGTAAATATTTAGCAAAGGTACTTGACCATGTATATAAGCTACACTTTTTTCTTTTTTGGCATGTGTATGACACTACTGGGGCTTAAAGATAGGGCCTAGGTGTTGTTCCTTAGTTTTTCACTCAAAGCTAATACTCTATCACTTGAGCCACAGCTCCATTTCCAACCTTTTGGTGGTTAACCAGAGATAAGACTCTACGAACTTTCCCACCTGGGCTGACATTGAACCAAGATCTTCAGATCCAGCCTCTTGTGTAGCGAGGGTTACAGGTGTGAACCACTGGTGCCTGACTAAAGCTACACAATGTGATTTAAGAGTATATGGTTATGTTGAGAAAAAGATAAATTAGTCATAGCCTGACTTACTTTTGTAGTGTCATGTGCATCCAATATGCCTTCCACAATGTCAGAGAGATCCTTATGTAATTCCTTTAAAAAATAACCCAAAAAAGTAATAAGAAAAGGCTATGTAAATATAATTTTTATTATTCAGTAGCTAAATTATGCTGGCCAAATATTTAAAAATTACTATAGATTCTCACATTGTTTCACAAAGTAAGATACTCTGCTGTTTCATTCTTAGTCTACACAATAAGCTCAGTTTATTAAATTTTCCTAAGGCAAATTTCTTAATTTTACATATTTAGCTATGAATACTTGGAGTAGCACAATATACCAACTAAATGCAGTAACAAATCCTTCTTGTTCTTTTTTTTTTTTTTTTGGTCAGTCATGGGGCTTGAACTCAGGGCCTTGGGTCCTGTCCCTGAGCTCTTTTGTTCAACACAAGTCCACCTCTGGTTTTCTCATGGTTAAATGGAAATAAGAGTCTCAGAGAATTTCCTGCCCTGGCTGGCTTTGAACTGTAATCCTTAGATCTCAGCCTCCTGAGTAGCTAGGATTTCAGGTGTGAGGCACCAGTTCACAGAACAAATTCTTTTTTCTTTTCTCTTACAAATCATCATTCAATTTTCCTGTTGGAGGTTTATATTCAAGAAGATGCAATAATCAGAACTTACGGGGATATCATCAGTGCGGTTGTCCTTCCAGACCTCTAAAAGTGCAACCACCATGTCTCTCAGTTCAACCCTGGAGAGAACTCCATCACGGTCAACATCAAACACCTTGAAACAAACTAATAAAAAGAAACTCTTATGGAGACAAATGACTTTTAGATTCTGAAGTATAAAACACTTTATTAGAAATTGTACTGCATACTCACTTAATTTTTCAAGCAAGCATATTCTGGATCAGTTATCATCAGGAGTAGATTATAGCCTATCATTATATTTTTGGAACTTATTGAATTTCCTCAATAGACTTCACAAATCTGTCTCTAAATAATTACCCAGGTTGGGATGACCTTTCTATCACATAGATCTAACTTGTTTATAAGGTAGAAATAAGGAGCCAGGTGCCAGCAGCTCACACCTGTAATTTACCTTGCTACTCAGGAGGCTGAGATCTGAGGACCACAGTTTGAAGCCAGTCTGGGCAGGAAAGCCCATGAGACTCTTATCTCCAATATAGTACTCAAAAAAGCCAGAAATAATGCTGTAGCTCAAAAGAAGCTCAGGGACAGGGCCCAGGCCCTGAGTTCAAGCCCCAGGACTGACAAAAACCCATAAACAAAAAACAAAACAAAACTAGAGAGCCCTGTACTAGTGGATCATGCCTGCAATCCTAGCTACTCAAGAAGCTAAGATCTGGGGCTGGGAAGGTGGCTCAGTGGTAGAGAGCTTGCCTTGCATGCATGAGGCCCTGGGTTCGATTCCTCAGCACCACATAAGCAAAAAGAAAAAAGCCGGAAGTGGCGCTGTG